CTGACATTTCTTTGGAGGTGGAGGAACACCAAAGTAATTGCTTAAAGGAGCTTCTTCGACATCTTTAAAAGTTCTAAACAAATGTCTGTCCTCCTCCAGAAAATCTTATGTACGCAAACGCTGGTGCACCCCTGTTTATAGACATTACTTATTTCCAAAACAATGTCCCTCTTTGGGCTTTTATGCCCATGAAGGACTGCAATACAGTACTAGAAAAATATAGTGTCAGACAGATAAATAATTTAAATATATGAATACATAAATTCCAAAAATATAAATAATTATGAAATTATAGTATAATTAGTTTTATTGGGGGGGTTATATTGGTTGGGTCTGATTATTGGTGGTGAGGGGGTCATAACCCCCCTAACCCCCCTGGAAATTACGCCCCTGGTAGGAATACACTTTGGGGCCAGACTGTTTATACATTTAACAATTAATTTAAGAAAACAGAGATGAAACTCTCAAAACTAAGTATTATAATCTTTTAGAAATATTACAATGATGCCACCTAACAGGCTTTTTATCCATTATTTTGAAACAAAGGAATTGAATATAGTGCTAAGCGACTACAAGTTATTTCTGTCATCTTATCTAATATATGTATATATATATATTTTTTGTTTTTCTCAGCCTACTAATTCTGCCATCTAATTGTCCCTCACAGTTTCTTTTTTTTTCATGCCTTTGTCTTAATAATTTTTCATACAGTTTTTCTAACCCCAGATTGACAGTATTTCTCTCAGTACTAATGCATGGCGCTCCTCTGAGTTTGGCTGCATTGCCAATATCTCATCCGGCCTAACACGAGCTGCCTTTTTCGCTGGGGCTGCATTTTACATTTGCATGGCTTAATCAGGAGTAACCCGATCCCCTCCTCCCCCCTCAGCCACCATTGAAGCCATTGAAGCCATCGAGACGCATGATGAGGACGGAGAAGGTAAACCCCCACCCATCTCCCACCCCTCTCAGTATATCATCAGGTTCTCCTGGAGTAGGGGCCACCTGCCACTAACATTTTCATGTGCACAACAGCCCACAAAATAATTCCTCCACTCTTATAACTCTTTAATCTGGTAAGGCTGGCACTTTACTTTGCAGAGATTAGATTAAACAGAAAAACCAACTAGATGATTGGATTTAAACTTTTAGAAGAGATGGAACTTTATAAAGGACCGTGAGCTGGATTTTAACACAGTTGTGTGTAATGTAGACTCTTTTATCGCAGGGAAATACTGGCAGTGTTTGCTGGGTGGGGGGCTGGTGTGGTATCATGTTCATGTAACTCTTGAGTCAGTGCACTAAGGTTGGAAGGAACTGTTTCACACCCAATGCAGTATTCCTGTTCCTTGTGGACAGATGAAAAGACGTTGATAAGCATCCACAGTGACTGCAGCATACATTTGCATTTAGTAATTAGAAAGTGGGCAAGAAAGGGAAAAACACTACTTAAAAGAGAGGAATTACTTTTTAAGGGATATATATTCATAATAAATGAAAACACTGCAAAGTCAAGTGCTGCTAAGAGATGCATGACTAAAGCCCATTATTTTGGGTTTGGCTTGTAAATGGCCTCCATCTGGTACTAAAAAGTGTTGCATGCAGAAAAACAAGAAACGGCCCAGCACATCAACATGAAATATACACCCCTGTGTCTGAGTTCCTGAGGTAATCTTAACTCATGAACGAAGAGTGAGAGATTTACAGCTTTGTTTATCCGACACATTATTTGTGCACTTTAAACAAAACTAAAGTAGCAGGATGACTGACAAGGGACATTGTAGCAAGTGGTGTTCGTTTTATTGAGAAAAAAGGGCAAGATTACAAACCATTGACTGAAGTCACTTTCTCTACCATGCAGTTTATGACTGGATTATTTAAAAAAGAGGTATATCACAGCTTGAAGTAACAAACATGCAGACTTGTAGACTTTGTAGACCTTTTTTTAATCCTCTAGGTCTGTAGGCCTCGCAACTGGGTGGAAACTGCCTGACAACTACCAGTGAGTGTTTGCTGGTGTTTGCCTAAGGACCAGTAGCTGACTCAACGGTAACCACTGGTTGCTAGTGAAAAATGTCTATTCCCTGAATGGCTGACAAGTAGTTGCAGGAAGCTACTTGCTGTCGCTAGGTGACATTGGTTGCCAAGGTGTATACAGTGCTGCATAGAAAACCTTCTTTGTATTATACTGATTTTGCTGCGAGCTGACTGCTGCGGTTACATGTACTTTGCATGGAAGATGCTAAATTGTCTGCAAAGACTCACTTACTGCTGTAATGCAAACAGGAAACGTAGGCCGTTTGCTTACGAAAATTTACCTTTGGGAACATGTTGGGTTCAGCAGCAAAACACACTTTTAAGGCAAACACTTTTTGGTTTGCATTAAACCTTTTCTTTTCACTACTGCTTGGTGGTTAGTTAGCAAGTGTTTGCATGCAAGTGGCCACCTTCCATACAAACTACACACAACCCTGGCAATCTGATAGCAACCAAAGCAATTGCGCAATGGTTTTTCGTGCAGAGACCATCTTTGTGACTGATTTCATCTAGTGGCACCCACTCACCAGTCATGATTTTCCCTAGTAACCAGAGGTTGTCAGGGGGTTGCTGACCAGTCTCTAGGCCTGTGTGACTGAGGTCTAAGGAACATCAGTTGAGGGAAGGGCAGTTTAACTACAAGAAAGCAGCTGTCATGAGGAATGCTTGCCATGTCACTATTGTTAGTTGCAGAGATGAGTGATTAGTTTATATCAACAGCATGTGACCATGCGCACTTTAATAAAAAAGAGTATACTAATCCATTAATTAGGGACGATTGTGGCTCAAGAGTTGGCAGTTCGTCTTGTAATCGGAAGGTTGCCGGTTCGAGCCCCGGCTCGGACAGTCTCGGTCGTTGTGTCCTTGGGCAAGACACTTCACCCGTTGCCTACTGGTGGTGGTCAGAGGGCCCGGTGGCACCAGTGTCCGGCAGCCTCGCCTCTGTCAGTGCGCCCCAGGGCAGCTGTGGCTACAATATAGCTTAGCATCACCAGTGTGCGAATGACTGAATGTAGTATAAAGCACTTTGGGGTCCATAGGGACTAAGTAAAGCACTATACAAATACAAGCCATTTAATGAAATAAGCTCTGATTCCTAATACGACTCACATTCTGAATTTACACATCTTCATTAGTTATAATCCCTGCGAAATCACAGCAGCAGTTCATGTCTTGGGAGGGTATGTATCATATTAAGAACACTCTGGAACTGCGGAGTTACGTGAAGATCCTGATCCCTTTATTTGTGTTTTTCAGCTATCCGTGGGTTCTCCCCCCAGCACAAGATCACCAGCTTTGAGGAGGCTAAGGGCTTGGACCGCATCAATGAGCGTATGCCTCCTCGCAAAGATGGGGTGAACCATGTGGGTCACTCCATTGGAAAGATGAATATGTCAGAGGCAAACGGCACAGAAGACAACAGCAACATCCAGTGATGTGCTGTCTGAGCCTCAGAACTGCCGGTGGCTGCGCAGCAAGAACTTTGCTAAATCCTGAATTCAGGCCTCTGAACATAAAATAAAACAGGCCCTCAGATAGAAAATGAAATCTGCAGCAAATCTAAAATGGCAAAAAGGTCATTTCTTTCATGACACTATGTCATTGCACGGTTGGGGGAGGGGGGAGTTGGGTTCACGGCAAAGGGCAGGCATAAGGAGAGATGAGCAGGCTTCAGCTCGACTGAAAAAAAAAGTCAAGTGATTGAAAGTTGTGTCTGCCTGTTGTTCCCTTTCTCAATTCAATTACAGACTGAATTGTTGGGGGTTGTTTTGTTTTAAGCGCTGACACGTGTCTGCTCCTTCATCACAGGGCCTGACAGCAGACATAATTGCAGTATCCATGCCTCACAAATCATTTTAACTGTTTTATAAGGTGTTTATTATGAGTCACTCACAAATTCACTTGATGAGGAAAACGATCTTGTTTACCTACATGTTTTGCTAGTATTAGATCACACCACTTCATCAGAAAGAAAGAAAGAATAAAAAAGCAAAATGCGTACCTCTTCAAACCTGCAGTGCAATCTTACTGTTGAACTTTAATTTATTGATTTACCTTGTGGTAAGAAGCTGTTGTCCTGCATGGGAAAGAGGACAGGGTGCTTTGGCCCGGCCACCAAAGATCAAACTCCACTTTGCGTATGTCTCCGTAATCTCCAGCACTGCTCCTTTCCTCACCTTCCTCGCTGTCAGCCGTCTCCTAGCAAGACATAACTTGGAGGGGATGTGGGAAGAAAAGGGGGGGGGATGAAAGGAGCATTGTGAAATTTTTATTCCACCTCTTACTGTAGATATCCCAGTATCAAAAATTACATACAGTCCGAAAATGTCACACTACCCCAGAAGTTCAGAAAGTGCAACATTTGTAGGTGAATCTCAGAGGGTTTTATTTTATGTGCTTGTATCAGAGTTATTTACTTTCTCTTCACTGTCTGTTTACACATTTCACATGAGAAAAGGGCAAAAAATTATACAGTTACTTTTTGGGACATTTTACACCTGAGCTTTCTCTGCTGAAGGATGCTTAGTGTCACGGGTATTTCATCTCTTCTCCATCGCTATGACTGCCAACATTGTGGAATTAACACTAATTTCTGGACCTCAGAAGAAAAGTTTTTAAATTGTGGGACATACCCTGCTATCAGACGCCACCCAACATTTCTCACCTGCTTATTGCTAAAGATAAAATAGTTGGTGCAGTCAAATATGAAACCAGCGCCCTTTGAGTTTGCAAATTCAGTGAGATTTCATGCCACACACTGAACTGTATACCATGAAGAAATTCTGCAAATGTGTTGTTGAAAGCTTCTCTAAAAGCCACGCCATTGTGTCACTTAAAGCAAGCAGGCTTGGAGCTAAACTGAAACATATTGACATGATTTGCTTTGATGACGAATCCTGACCAGAATTTAGTTAATGGATATCAAATTGTTGGACATTAAATACATGAATCTGTTAATCTGTTTTTTCTAATTTAAGTAGAGTAGGGAAGCAGCCTGAGAAAACCTTTAATGGGATCTCAATGAAATGGATTCCCATGGCCAACAATAAGTAAGTAAGTAACTAAGTTTAAGCAGAAACACTTCAAAATCTGGGAGAGTCACACCCAACACCTACTATATTCATTTCTACAAATTCCTATCGTACATCAATATTTTTTCTACTTTATATTCCATCTTTCTATTTAATGATAAAGGTATGTGAATTAAGGATGAACAAAAAGTGATTTTTACACACAGCATCTATGGTATGGAACGCATCAATGCATGCAGTTAAGTTCCTAATTGTTATGTGAGATTATAATTGTGATCGTTGTGTTTCAAATAGTAAACTTAAATTTATTTATTTTGAAATTCTATTGTTAGTTTTATTTGTCTTGTTTTATACATTTTATAAATAGGCTTCCTTTAGTTGATTTGGTCCATATATTTTTTTTTCATTCTGTTATTAATTACCACTGCTTTTAATTTTATATTAGTTTTATTGTATGCAGAGATGCCCTTCTAAGGTGTTACGCATTGTGTTTTAAATTTTTTCTGTTGTACTGATGTACAGAACATGTTCAGTAGTGTGAATGAATATAATCTCAGTGAAAAGCAACTTTCAGGCTGCCAAAGCATGATAGCATGGTTTTCAGATGTAAATGAACTGGACACAAAGAAAATCATGTGTCACACTTACATTTAACAGGAAACATTGTACTCTGGTTATATTTACTGCAGATATTATTATTGTTACAATTTAGCTTATGGTTACTTTCCTTCCTCTGTTTCTGGGTCTTGTATGGTCTACATGCATATTTCAACAAACAAATATAATGGATTTTATCTTGCAGCATTTTTTTATTATTATTATCTATCAAAATATGTTTGGGCATTTGACCTCCTAAATAATACACACATTGTAAGCATGCCCTATGGGACAAATCACATTTTTTTACTCTTGAATAAAATATGCATGAACAAAATGTGTGATGTCATTTTTTTTACGTCTCAAACGTGGAAGTACATAAAAGTTTCATTAGGTATATCTGGAAGACAATTCATGCAGACTCCCCAAAAGTGGACAACAGAAGAGTGGAAAAATGTTGCGTAGTCAGATGAATCTCAATTTCTGCTGCAAAATGCAGATGGTAGGCTCAGAATTTGGCATGACCATGAAAACAAGGCTCAATCCTGCTGGTGATGCAGTGTTGTGGGGGATATTCTTTCCACACACTGGGCCCCTAAATATCAACTGAGCATCATTCATACACTAGCCTACCTGAGAATTGTTACTGACCATGTCCATACCTCGATAACCGTAATGTATTCACATCATAGATGTGCAGCCGACAAATCAGCAGGAACTGTGTGATCGTGTCATGTCAACATGGACCAAAATGAGGAATGTGTCAAGCACCTTGTTGAAATCTGTACAACATAAAATTAAAGCAGTTATGAAAGCAAGAAGAGGTCCAATCCTAAAGGCATACTTTATCACCATAACAGTAATTTACTGTTAAGATTTTCTGTAAAAACTTTAATTTTCCAGTTTAAGACTGTTATTTTACAGTGTACCCACTGTTATCTACATGTTTCTACTGAAAAAATATTACATTACTCTAGTGTAAAATAATATAAACTATAGAAACTATATAATACTATATCAAATATTTGGTTGCCATGTTGTCAAAAACAGCTCATTACTGTAAAATGTGTTAAAGTACAGTAAAGCTGTTCCAAATGTTAGGAAGATTCTGAGTATGCCTTTTTATGTCAATGCTCCAGAATGCTGAAGTCAATTTATTTATCTTTATGAACCAGATTTAAAAAAGTACTGTATGTACAGTAAAGTATTTGATTACGCTTCTTGACATTTAATTAAGTGTGCCTTATTTTATGCCATAAACAAAAGCAATCATGACAGTGAGCCATTGTCTCAGACTTAAAGACAATTATATGTAATTTTGTGTGTTGAGCCTTTTTTTTGTTCAGTACAACCTACAGTTCATTGTATGGTAATTTTAACACTTGAGCAAGTTTTAGTAAGTCCCATTTGTTAACCATGCCGGAGGGATTTTACTCAGAATGCAGATTAATCAAAAAGCTCGACTACCAGAAGTTATTTTTTTCAGAAGCTTTTCCTTGTGTGTGTGTGTATATATACACTTACATGTTTTTAAAGGCACATTTTAAACCTTATTACACCGGATATGACGCCACCACGGTCTCGCCCCCGTCGCTTGTCCATCACTGGACGGAGAGATCCCTTTAATTTGATAAGGTGGCTCTTTAAACGCCAATAAAACAGAAAAACAGTCAATTTCAAGACTCTCAGCTTAAATGATGGCGAAGCTGCAGGCCTGTTTGCAGCCTCACAACCACCGTTTGCTAGTCGGATAGAGAGGACTTTGAGTGACTGCAGGATTGCGCCTTGCTAACGTTACGCAGCTGCTGTCTGTAACCAAAGCTAGTCGGCTATCTAACGTTAGCTGAAGCGGCTCCGCTTTGCCATATGATATTGACGCTCAGTGTACAGGGACAAACCTGGGCAGACAGCGACTTGCTCCGCTAAATAGCCCAATACCGCTGACATGGACAAAGAAGAAGCAGACCGGCTGATAGAGAAGGCCAAGCTGTGTTTACGGTCAGGACGGAAAGATCGGGCGTTGCAGCTGCTATATGAGGCGCAGAACATTTACCCCAGCACCCGGGCCAGAGGTAAAATTAGCTGACGCGCATACTGCAGTCATGGCCAGATTATTTGCTAACCTCGTCCTAGGACTTCACTCATTCCAACCAACCAATAAACTGTAGTAAATATATATTTAGATGGATGGGTGGATGCACAGAACGGCTACTTTAGATTAGGACTCGCCACCTACCTTTGATATTTTTTATATATTGATATTTTTTATATATATTGAGGCATGCTGCTTTGGGGCTTCAAACTATGGGGCAGCGTTGTGTTTAGAAAAAAAATCTTTGAATATATATATATATATATATATATATATATATGCTGTCATAGATTACTTTAAGCTCATTGAACATAACGTGTACGACAGCCCATCTTGCAGCATTATGCATGATGCACAGGTAATGTCACCCTACTGGCATACAGATGAAAGAAAAGACCAAGATCAACAAGGTAAGAAACACTGTAAATCAAACACTGTGACCTTCAAGTTCTCCAATTAAAACTCTGTGGCAGATTTTGAAGGGATTCCACTAACAGCACCTTCATTTTTAAAACATCAATTTCAGCCGGAAAGATGGCCTTCCTTCCCCCTGGAGTCTTAGAGATAAATTACCTTACATGTACCTCTTAATTACATGGGTCATCTTCTTTCTTCCCTTTTTTCCCTTCATCTGGATTTTCAGCTGATTGTCAACTGTTGCTGCTGTTTTGTAGTGCTGATAGATGCCATACTGAGAAATGGAGGCGGTGCCGCTCCAGAAACAAACCACGTGCCCCCACCGACAGGATGGCGAGATGAGGACATTGGAACCAGTGAAACAAATAATGCAAGTGGTGACGAGAAGAAGAGCTACACCGAGGAGCAGCGCCAAGGGGTTCTCAGGTGACTGTTTACTATTTTAAACTTCTATATTCATTTCAATTGCCATCAATTGGTCTTATTTGCAAACGCACGTGAATTTAAGTAAATTGTTGCATTTCTGGTAAATAAAATCCTCCTTGGCTTACAACTGTTTACCTGGCAGGTGAAGTGTTCTCAAGTATGATTACTCAGTCAGAAAACAGAACATTTCCAATACCAAAAATCTTGTCCCTTTGCAGCGAGATCCTGCATATTTTCATTTTGAAATCTATAGAGATTCCTGGTAACAGAGCTCTTGTTTATTTTTACCAAAAGTATTCATGCAGCTATTCACACCTATGGGCAATTTAGAATCACCAGTTAACCTAACCCCCCTAACTGCATGTCTTTGGGCTTTGTGAGGAAGCCGGAATACTCGGAGAAAACCTACGCAAACATGGGGAGTACATGCAGACTTCGAGCAGAAAGGCCCCTGCCAGATGTTGGATTTAAACCCATGACTTTATTACTGTGAAGCAACAGTCTAACCACTGTACCGCCATTCTGCCTGCCATAGGGTGAGAGGACTCAGTCACCCATTCCAATAATTGAATTCAGGTGTTCCAGTTACTTCCATTGCCATAAGTGTATAAAATCAAACACTCATGCATGAAGACCACTACTCGAAACATTTATTTAAAAATGTTTTTTTTTCTCGGTGAATCCCATCATGATACCATGATAGGATGCCACCTGTGCAACAACCCCAGTCATGAAATTTCCTCCTTACTAAATATTCAGCAGTCAGCTGTGTGACTGTGAATGACAGCTAATCAGCCACGAAGTGGAAGAACACTTAGGGACCATGTAACGTGAGGCGAAGAGTCCTCAAAGGTCTACAACTATTTGTTGAGTCGATCACTAAAGACATCCAAACTTCTTGTGGCCTTGAGATTAGCTCAATAACAATGTGCGGAGAGCTTCATGGAATGAGTTTCCATGGAAACAGCTGCATCTAGGCATTACATCACCAAGCTCAATGCATAGTGTCAGATGCAGTGACATAATGCACGCTGCCATTGGACTCTAGAGCAGTGGAGATGCGTTCACTGGAGTGACAAATTGCACTTCTTCTTTTGGCAATCCAAAAGACAAGTCTGGGCTTGGGGATTGCCAGAAATCCTTAGTTTCAGTCAAAGGAACTGTTAACACTTCAGTATTCCAACACATTCTGGAAAATTTCATGCTCCCAGCTTTGTGGGAACAGTTTTGGCATGACCCCTCCCTGTTCCACCATGACTGTGCACAAAGCAAGATCCATAAAGACGTGGATGAACAAGTTTGTTTTGGAAGAACTTGACTGGCTTGGACAGAGTGCTGGCCTCAACCCGTTAGAACACGTCTGGGATGAATTAGAGTGAAGACTTTGAGCCAGGCCTTCTCGTCCAACATCAGTGTCTGACCTCACAAATGTGCTTCTAGAAGAATGGTCAAAAATTCCCTTAAACACTCATAAACCTTCCCGGAAGAGTTGAAGATATTGCAAAGGGTGTGCCTACAACATATTAAGTTTTATGGATTAAGAATAGTTTTTCACTCTAGTTCATAAGCGTGTGAAGGCAGAGAAGCAAATACTTTTGGCAATATAGTGTATTTTCCTTCTAAAACTCTATGGAGATTCCCAGTAACATGGAGATTCTTAGTTATATGCTCCTCATCAAAGCTTAACCATGCGCTATTGATTGGTGTCCATCCTACAAAACAATGCTTTGTTGGCAAAACATGCCTCTTGACTAAGTATTATGTTTTACTCAAAACGGAACAGATATGCAGTAACAGAAAGAAGTGGTCCAAATTTTTCTCCCCTTTTGTAGGATAAAGAATTGTAAGGACTTTTATGAGATTCTCGGTGTGCACAAAAGTGCCAGCGATGAAGATTTGAAGAAGGCCTACAGGAAGTTGGCCCTGAAATTTCACCCTGACAAGAACTTTGCTCCGGGAGCCACAGATGCTTTCAAAGGTACGAGCTTTGGCGATAAAAAAGCAAAACGAGCTTTTATTGCCCACTTCATTGTATTCTACCAAATGCAGAAATTTATGAAAGCTCACCAAAGTCAGAGGTTGTGGTCCGCTCAGCAGCTGAAACCTCGTGCAGGTAGTGTCTCATTTCAAATGGATTTTATCAGGGCTTTAAGTTTTTGCAGCTTTTAAATGTTGTTTTGGTATTTCTTTAGGCAGTTTGTATTCATTTTTGACTGTGAGGTGCAGAGGGAGAGACATGAGACACACTGCAGATATTGATCCAAAGATGAACATTAAAGTCAAATGTTTTTTGTAGTTCTTTGCATGAGAATCAGCACCGATTTTGTTCACTATTAAGCCTCTATGGCCAATTAGTACAGGAGCTGCTTATTTGCATCCGCTGCCTTGCTCTTTTCCCAGCTCTGTTGCTGCTTATGTTTTTTTGCTTTGGACTTCATCCCCTTTCTCCCTACAGCAATAGGTAATGCATATGCAGTGCTGAGCAATCCAGAGAAGAGGCGGCAGTATGATCAGTATGGAGATCAGTCTGCAAGTATGAACGCACCCCAGCAATCCACCCACAGTCGGCACGGACACTACCGCAGCTTCCACAGGGACTTCGAGGCCGACATTTCCCCCGAGGAGCTCTTCAACATGTTCTTCGGAGGAAGGTTTCCCACAGGTATGATGGGAGGAAGGTAACTGAAAAGGTCACTATTCCAGGTGGCTTTTAGTGGGCAATTTGTAATAAATTTGCAATTTAAATATTTCCAATAGAGCTTCCAACAAATGAAAACGCAGTGAGCAGCAGTATTAGTATTTATGGTTCATTTTGACCGCTATATTTTAGGTATATTACATGCTTTTTTTTATGTTTAAGTGCAGATTCAATAGCACTGTGTTTCTCTACAGGAAATATCCACGTGTACACCAACCAGGGAGCCTCCTACTCTCAGTTTTATCAGCCTCGTCGTCGACGTGCTCATGAAAGGCGCGAGGAGGTGGTGGAGGAAAATCAGAGTCAGGTCAGTGACTCACTAAGCATGAGGAGAAATCCCTGTTAAACAGCCTCAATATTATGTTGTTGTCGTCTTTAATTCTTTGATCATGAGTCTACAGAAAAGCACTGAAAGGTTCTGGAATTCCTTTTTAACATGACTGTATCCCTTAAGCGATTGTTTCTGCTCTTATTCCAAAGACGTAGAAATACCACGCTGGCATGAGTGCGGCGTAATCATTGCAGCCTACATACAGTATTGCATGCTTTGTAAACTGCACTGATTTCTATCTTCCCACAGAACACCTTCACAGCTCTTCTGCAGCTTCTCCCCGTGTTGGTGCTAATCCTCATATCAGTGTTTACTCAGATGATGGCCACTAACCCACCCTACAGTCTCTTCTATAAGCCGTGAGTCTGTTCGACAACATATGGGTCTCACTACTGTGATTTTTTTTTTTTTAGCCATCCTAAGGGTTCTGACATGCTTGACGCTGTAAATCCACTGAATTAATTTGGTTTGGTTTTGGTTTCAGAGCCATGGGGCTAGTGGTGTCCAGGGAAACGCAGCACATGGGTGTACCATACTATGTAGACAAGGGTTTTGAGAAGGAATACCGTGGC